AAACGATCACCATTTGTTAATCGTCGATAACTAAAACAACGGACGGATTCTCAAAATACGGAGTCAATATATTATTGTCAGTGGTTTACTATGGATCGTTATCGTCGGTACACCCAGGGAAGTTTTCGTAATAGTTATATTTTTAGCAATTTAGCAGTTTATACCACGAATTAATACGCAGTGGAAACACTTGAAACGTGTTACATAAATTGTATAACATTATTATATATTTTATTATTGCGATCCTAATATACATATGTGCTAATAATAATGAACAGATTACGAACTAATACCAAAAATTAAATAAAATATTAATCGTTTCCAATTTTTTTTCATATTTATTTAATTTTTCTAAGAAACAAATTCATATTCATATAATTGTTGAAGGACGCTGCGTCCCCTGCGTTCCTTGATGAATTAAATTAAGGGGTACGCTATAATATGAAGAAAAATGAAGAGTAGCTCAGACCCCCCCCCAATTCAACCACTGCCTTTATCATTATATTTTTTAATATTTAAAGATAAACTACATTTTTTTATTTAAAACACATATCTTATGATTTTTCATGATATTTAGTAATTTTTACTGCAAGTATTATTGTAATATTACAGTAATTTTAATGCTTAAGCCTTAGTTATGACTTTTAACTCATAACTTATAATTTTTTAAAATTAACTATCAAATATATTTATTTTATTTGATTAATATGTTTTCAAACTTTTCATCAACCACAGGATTTCAAGATATATATATATATATTTAATAAAATATGTTTGGAAACGTGCAATAGAAACCCATCATATATTTTTAATTTTGTATATTTACTTATACTATTTAATTAAAAAACGTTTTTCTGAATTGAAAAATATTCAATTACAAAATAATTATCATAAATAGTGCTTTAAGATATTCTTCGAAAATATTTGTATATTATGGAGCAACAGAATTTAGTATATATTAGGTAGAAAAAATAAAACAATAAGTTATTAAAAAAAAAAAAAAAAAAATAAGAAAATAAATCATAAACTGTTGTTTTTCTTTTATTTGATTATAAACTTCTTGCAAAAGGGTTTTTTATTCCTTTAAGTGTTTTTTTTCATGTATTGTAAAAAGTTTTCATAACAGAATGTGCTAAAGTTATCAAGTTACTGGATGTTCTATAAAATCTCCTTTTTCAATGCTTGAAGTACATCCAAAATAAACATTAAAACATTAGCATTTAGTAAAAAAAACTCTTTATAGGAGCATCGCAAACTATATACGAATTGTTAATATTAATTAAGGTTCCATTTACATTTAATGCATAATTTAATACTTCTAAAACATAAAAAATAAATGGATTTAAAAATTCTTCAATTAAATTTGGTTGTTATTGAGTAATTCTTTAAAATTTAAAATAGAAATTAGTATGAGCCAGAGTTGGTTTTTACTAGTCTAAGATATTGGTAGAATATCTATATTAATTCCAATTTTTAGTATATTATCACTTGTATATTTTTCAAAATTATTTATTTCTAAAAGTGGTAAGAGAATTTTTTTTAATTCAAAATGTATATAAGACCCATTTGATATTTCATTAGTTTTTAAAGAGAGTACAAAAAATAAGTTATTGTGGTGGTTATTTAAATTCTGTAAAAGTTAAATTTTTGTTTTTATTTTACACAATTTATGACAAAAAATACTCGTTGTCATGTTATGAATTGTTCAAAGTTTTTTTCATTATGTTATAAACATGCTTCTAAAAGTTGTATGATTTTATCTTAAGTAACAGCTGTAATCTGTTAATATATCAGTTGTGTGCATGTTTCGAGGATATTCTGTTTTATAGATTTGTATTTACATAAATACATATATAATAACACTGACCTTATTGTAATTATCTTAATATTTAATTTTTATTCTTAGTTGAATTATTATTTGATTATTTGATTTATGTTTTTGTAATGTAGTTTAATTTTTTTTTATTAAAATGTACAAAATGTACAACTATTTCTAATAAAATTATAATTTAATTAAAATGTCTGATTCTTTTTCAGTTGACTTGGGCTGACCTATTTTTTGTAGCTATTTTGGATTATTTAAACTTTATGGCAGAAATTGATTTATTGGAAGGTCGTCCAAACATGCAAGCACTCAAAAAAAAAGTGTTAGCCGTACCTCAAATAAAGACATGGGTTGAAAAAAGACCTACAAGAAATCCTTAAGCATAGAATCATTTCCAGCTCTGCAAATTTAAAAAATTAAGATTCCAGTTTATTTTTATTCAACAGTATTTTATACCATCAGTATAACCATTTATTTTTATAGTATTAATTAAATTTAAATTATGTATAATGTTATTTGATTCAAAATTAATAAAGTATTATTATTAGGGACCAGATTTATGTGCTTCTAAAAATGCTGTAATATGCTATAAAAATATGTTAAATGTATTATAAATGTAAAAAAAGTATTAATTAATACGGTATAAAAGAACTTTTAAAATATTTTGTCATCTTAGTTGCCATTTAACATTCTTTATCTTCAATCTATAAAGTATAAATAATACCCACATAAATAAAAAGTAAAAACAAAAATTGAATTCATATTTTACCTTATTGCATTGGATGATCAGAAGTTCCTTAATGTGTTCAAACGTTAAATTCCTCCGATTATCTGTAAGTACATTTTTATACACAGAATAACTTCACTCGACCTCAGCAATATTTATAGGAGCGTACTTCATATATGTAATATTACTTGCAAATAAATATTTCATAATTTTTCAAGTAGTTCATTGTTGCCGTCTATTTCTCCTTCCAAAATCTTAGAAATTGTCTTAATTATTTTATAATCAGGGTTTTTTTTTTTAGTATGGTTTTAAGTTTGGCATTTATAATACCACCAATTTGTTTTTTGATTATTTTAATGTGGTTTTTGCGTTTTTAATTTTGATCATTGCTTCTGATAACAAGTAATCTTTTGATTCTAAAATTTTTATTGTGCACGGAATTATTCCAAAATTTGATTTAATGTTAATTAAATTAGATTTAAAATTAGGATCTTTTATCAAATTTTGTGATTTTTTAATTGAAATAAAGTCTTCATCACTGTTCAATTGAAGAATTATTTATTTAATAATTTCCAACTTGTCACAATAATAAAAGGCTGTGTTTAGCCATGTACCCCAACGCGTTAATATTGGTTGTGGTGGAAGTGTTAGATTAGGGGCCATATTTCGGAAAAGTGTAGTGCGCGATGGAGCTTTTAAAAAAACTTATGATGTTAAAAATGAGTTTATCAACTTGAGGGAATTGATTTCTTATTTTTTCGGAAACTGTAATCGGTCGCAATTTTATCGATATTATGTGGCTGTGAACGTAAAAATACGACGGAAACGAATATATGTGCTATTAATAATATGCACTATAAAACTACAAATATGCATTGAATATACATTTAATAGGTGAAAACGTTGAAATATGAATATAAATCTGGTCCCTAATTATTACATTTTATATTTTAAGTATTTCATTAGTGTATAATAATGATTTTTTTCGGTAAATTCTATTTAAAATATATAAAATAATTTATTTTAATACACAAGTATTTATTTTCATTTATTAAAAACAAAAAACTTAAAATATTACGACTCAATTAATTAACTTCCAGAACCATTTTAATTCATAACAATTTATATATATATTAATTTCTATAAGCATTTTGTTAACTCAATTAATAAAACACAAAATTATTTATTGGATTGTATTATATAACGCAGACCTAGCGGCAGTCTTTATCATAAAAGCTATCAACGGCCGCTTTTCTGACTAATCGTCAACGCGAAACCCGGTTTTCCATCCATCCATCCATCATTGGAGTGGGGCCTGGAACGGTCACGACGACGTCCGACACACACCACCATCAAAACTGTGGGTTAGTAAATTTCGCATTGTGATGAGCGATTCTTGGAAATGAATCGATATTTTAAATTGATTCAAATCGGACTGAAAAGTACAATCAGAAATAAAGGTCGATTTACTTTATTTGCGGTTTTTCTAAATTGATGGTATTATTTGCCTGTGCTCTAGGTGAAAAGCAGATAAAAATATAAAATGTGTAATAACTTCTAATTTGTATTTCGTAATTGTATCAACAAATAACAATGAATCAATTCGCAAAAAATATCGAATCAAAAACTTGATTCGCATGAAAGATCGGATTAACGATTCGATTCGATCTTCACACAAATGAATCGATCTTTTAAAAGATCGGACCATGAAGATCGTCATTGCACGAAAAAGATCGATTAAAATTGCCCATCGCTATTAGTTCCACACTACTAGTTCCCCGATTTCAACACAACCATGACCCGTGTGCATGCATCGATGACAAAAGTCCTAATTTTTGTCATACTTGTTTTTTGCGTATTTGGTATTTCAGGTATTTGTTGTTCTTTTGCCTGATATGTAACACGATGACCAAATATACGGGGGAAAAGTTGCATTTTCATCAATGTATGTATCGATGAGATGATCGCATAATATACTGTAAAACTTTGGGTTTTTGACGTCCAAAAAAACTACCCACGAATCAAGGGGAACACTTGATTTGTGACCTATAAACCGCACTGCGTGATGACCCTAAGGCCAAGTCAGTGGAGCTTATAGGCTTTATACACTCAGTGGTTCATTAAAAAACCAAAGATTTGAATAAAGGGAAATAAATATATTTAACAGAAAAGTATTATGATCGTTACATAGATGAAAACGAAAGGAGGGAGTCAAAAGGGAGTATACATTATATTACGACGACGACAATGATGGTGCTGAAGCTTGTGGTGTTGATTGGCCTTTTCGCCCGCTATGGTCCATACGGTCGTACTTAGCCCATCATTCCGTATATGACGCACGTTGATGATAAGGTGTAAATATTCGTGGCACCGAAAAGTTGATTGTTGGTCGAAACGAAACGGTGTCCTGGTGACGTGAATCGAGAACAAAACTCCGTCGTCCGCGGTCGTGGAAAGAAAAAAAACAAATTGTTGGAGAGCCGCTTCTCTGTTCGGCCGGTGGTGGCTCCGTCAAAAGAATGTGATAGAGAGTGTCTCAGTGTCGTCGCGTCGTGAGCTTTTTTACATTAAATTTACAAATTGGGGAACAGGTTTCCCTGTCGGCACGCGCCGGCAGCCGCGACAACGGCACGCAACGGCGACGACGGGCAACCAGCTACGATACCGGCGCGATGGACACCGCTTGTGTGGTGGGTCGGGGAAACGGTATTGCATAACAATATTGTTTTGCATATTGTAATCGGATTTGCGCGTGTATGATAATAATTATTATCTTAATAAAATAGCCTCAAATTTCCGTGAATTTATATAACCTCAACAAGTTATTGAAGGTGCAACATCAATTGGAACAGAAAACCACTTGTTGTAATAGAAAAGAAGCTGAATTTTGAGTGATCTACTATTTTATTTTTATTTTTTTATTTTGAGTAATTAAACTTGAATAACTAAGGATAATCCTACATAGCAATTTTAGATAATGACACAGAAAAAAAAATATAATTTAAGTTTTGGAAAAGAAGATAGAGAAAACAAATTTTTTAAGTCGAGATTAAATAAAAAAAAAAAAACATGGTAATGTAATTATAAAGTAACAACATAAAAAAAATTATAATTTTAAACAGCACGTTGGTGCGAGAGACACTGGATAATATTTAAATATTAAAAAAAAAGTGTAATATAGTAAAAAGACCTACCAATAATAATATAATAACTTAACGGGGAGACAGAGAGAAGTGCACTAGCTTTATCTGTGTCCGAAACGGGGTCACACCGAATTTAAAGAAGATACGAGACAGAAAAAAGGGCAGTTTAAAGGGAAAACAGGGGGGGACAACATGGGGAGTTACGAATTTAATGACCTGGGCCTTCTAGATTATACTTATAATAGACTGTGCAGTTCTTGTGATTTTGAGCGGAGTCTCGCGTACGTTAGGGGCCCCGGATCAGGCAGAAACACTCCACGTACAACCCCCCATTTAATATGAAGTCCGGAAATTCAAGACATGGTCACCATTGGTGCTTATTACAAATGTATTTTAAATTTTAAATACTGGAGGAGAAGATCACCACGGGAGTGTTTACGTGGTAGGTGGTATATACGGCTTCAGATGTATTACATTGTAGGTATCTTTGGGTGTATTATTATCAGGGCGGACCAATTCATATACATTCACGGTTTTTAAACTTTTTATTTTAAAGGGGCCATCATATAACAGGAAAAATTTAAAAAATTTTTTGTTTATTGGATTACTAAGTTTATGGGTTCGGACTAATACAATATCGCCAATTTTGAAAAAGGTGAGATTGAGATGTTCTTGTTGACGTTTTTTACGGGATTCAGATTTTGATAGTTGGACTTCTTGGGCTAATATTAATTGTTATTGTGATCGAAAGATAAATTGTCGGGGAAATGTATGAATTGAGTGAGAGGATTATGTTGAGAATTTTGTAAGAATAGTGCTGAGGGGGTTTGGTGTGTAGACTCATGACGTACGTTGTTGAGCGTCCACTCGATGTATAGAACATATTGGGGCCATAATGAATGTTCCTGGTAATAATATGTTTGAAACATTCTACGTAACTTTCTCATGACACGTTCTGCTGGGTTAGATTGAGGGTGATAAATACTGGTGTGAGACACTTGAATATTATATTTTTTAAGAGAGGTTTGCCAATATTTACTTACAAATTGTCGACCATGGTCGGAGACGATATTTTTTGTTACACCATAATTTGGGAAATAATCTGTTGTTAATTTTTTAATACATATTTTAGCATTGGCAAACTGGAGAGGATATAATTTGACGAAGCGGGTGAAGTTATCAACAATTACAAAGATGTATGAAAATTGAAAAATACCAGTGGGAAGAGGACCGTAGAAGTCCACTAACAATTTATCGAAAGGTTGAGAAGAGAGAATAGATTGCATAGTACCCGCAATGCAGGTGGTCTTTGATTTACACTTCTGACACAACTCGCACGCTTGTACTATACAACGGATAATTTTATTGAAAGCGGGAAAGTAACAAATATTTTTTATAGATAGTATATATTAGTAATACTAATATAGTTTAATTCCTAATGCCTCTTTCCAAAATAGCCTATGTTCAAGAGTTTTGAGGACTATAAAATGTGTATTTGACGCTGTATGAGGCACACGGACACAACAGTAATGTGGTATTTTAATTTTTTTAGTTTTACTTTTAGTAATATAAACTTTAAAATTGTATAAAACGGAAACAAAACAAAATAGATAATGTCGTAACCCCGAATTTTTTTTGTTTTTTTTAGGGAGAAATTGTTGAATATCATACATATTATTTTTATACATATAATATTTTTGTGTCGTTATACCATGTTGTTACCGAGTCAAAAGAAAATCGATTGGCCCAACGATAACAACTATACAGTAGAAACTCGATCGACCGTCTCTCAGTTATCCGACATTGCTATCGTTAAATATAAATAATTTGGTGTTGGTTTCAATCATATATGCTAGTTAAATAATAAATAATGATAAAAAAACAACTAGGTGAGCCTGGCGCTCACTCAACATCAATGGCAGGACGTTACATAACGATACCAAAGACAAATGAATGAGACAATTGAGATTAACTCGTTGCGGCGATTATCAAGTGTGTACAATTTTTTTCTAATATCCAACATATGAAATAAACGTGCCGTGAACAAACAAATTGAATTATTTTTAATTAAATTTAATCAGTGATTGACGAGTAACTCTTACATAAAATACGAAATGTTGCAGCTGAAAAAGCTCGAGCGTCAAAAAAACAAAAGAAAATCACAGATTATTTTGTTTAAAATTGTTAGATTTAATTTAGTAGTATAGTAGTATGGTATTTAATAAGTAGTATATGTGTGTATTATTTTTTTTTCGGAAAATACACACGTTGTAAAAAATATATGTTTATTACAAAATTTAAATTGTAAAATTTCTGTTAACAGCCATAGTCCCGGTATCGATAGTGAAGGTTGATCGAGTTTCTACTGTATTAGATGACTGATCAAAATTACTAAAATGACCAAATCATTCGATCGAATCTAACCTAACCTAACTAGACTGTCCAGATTCAAATAATTCAAATTATTCAAACGACTGAAAATTTTCATCTCTAATCTGACCGTACGTAAGGAACTGAAAAGTTATGAATTCGTAAGACTCTGGGAAATATATCGACAAAAATATAAATTATTTTGTATAAATAATGCATTACATTTGCCTTTACATTTCGCTCTTATAATCCACATACATTTTGTTATATTAATATATTGTTTATTTAAAGCTGTGTCCAAACCAAAACAACATTGTGGGCAAGACACAATTTCCACATTTTTGGCTACAAAATTTTTTAAACATTTCTTTAAAAATTGTAAACTTTTGTGTTTTCAACAAAGTTAGCAACAACATTTTATTTCCACATAGGAGGCGGTAAAGATCATAGAATGTTAAGAAATATTATTGACAAAAATGTTTTTAAATTTTTTCTGCTGGTTTTATTGACAACATTTCATGGTATTATCAATTATTAGCATAATATGTAGCGAATTATAAAGATGAACTGAGTATACAACCAAATATGGTAATAATTGTCTAGAAAACATGTAACTATTTATTTACCTTAGTTCGTCAGATAATAGATTCATATCATTATGGTTAAGATCATTCAGCATATTTGTTTTATTAATAGTTTATTTACACTGGAGGCTAGGATGAACCCAAAATTTCTTTTTTTAATAGAACTTAAAATAATTGTGCAAACTGCTGCAACCACTACTTCTTCCTGGCTGAACATCTTGCTAAACACTAAAATTTGGTCAATAATGTTTCTTTGGTCTGGACTTATAAGTTTTTACTTATTATTGAACACTTTGTAGGAAACAATTATCAAAAACTGTTGACAACAAAGTTGTCCACAATGTTGCTTTGGTCTGGATGCAGCTTAAGATGAAAAAAAAAACATACTTGATAAATTTTTCTATGGATACATTTGAACTTAAAATTAATTTATATCCGTAAATAATTTTAAATTGTTACGAATTATTTAAAATTAATAAAACAGCGATTTTTTAAATTAATTTGATGAATATACCACGTATAAAAAATTGAGAATTTTTCAACTAAATATCTAAATATAAGTTTTATCTAACAAATATTAATGGAAGGGGGTTTTAAACATAAAACATTGCCGCTTCTTACTAAAACAAAATTATACAATACCAATATTACTTAATAATTACCGACTATACTTATATATGTCATACATAGGTGAGGAGTTTTGCCCTTTGTAACACCGGTCACGTTAATTTTTTTTCGTAAATAAATATAATTTAATAATAATTTATTACAACATAAGAAGTGGATTTGCTTGAAAAACTTTGTTTTTTTTTTTGTGCGTTATGTAAGTATGTTACAAAACATCATTCAAATATGTGGCAACATCTAGTCGATGACACGTTATCAGATAACTAGTATTATTTAATCGAAAACGATTTACAAATTTAAAAATTAATTAGTTAACATTTTTTATAAATAATTTAAAATCTTAACAAATAAAGTTAGTCAAATCGCATGTCATTCAGAATCAAAGGAATATGACGCCATAGTTATCGTTCTATCTAACCCTATTAAGTTATAGTCCACATGAAAAAAATCGCGGTTTTTTATTTATAATCTATAATTTTTTGACCTTAAGTCACGAACGGGAAAAAATTTTCACCGCGAAATAACAGCAGTATGGATATACCAAATATATTTGACAATATCAGTTTATTTAGCATAATTGTATATACGTAGGTACTCCGTCACACGTGGACTGCAACCTCAATATTCAACTGTTTTCGTTTTCGTAGTAACCATATTACAGTAAGTAAATGTCAAATATCGATAAAATATTAATAAAAAACTGACTAAACGATCAATGAGTAATTTTTATTATTCCGCACATAGTACGCCGCTGCCATACGTTCCGTTGTCAACGAGATCGTTTACGTTCTGTTTTACAGTTCATAAAAAAAAATGGTTGTGTATTAAAAAAAATAAAATATTAATATTTTGTTTATGATATATTTATAAATATTATTATTATGTGACGCGATAATGTTCAAAAGTTTATCGTAGCCTCTTAATTTGATTATTATTACTATCCTGAGTCCAATAAAATTATTCGTGGAATTTCCGTTTTAATTATTTCCCTAAAACTATTGTTTCCATTATAATTATTTATTACATTTAACATCAATAACAAGAGAATTATTTTTATTGGGTTTTAATACAATTTCTGGTAAATCATTAAAATCTAATCTTTAGTTTTTACATCAATAGTTTACAGTATCCATATATTAGTATCGATTAATTTGTAAAATGTGCTCTTTATAAACATAATACGAGTATGTATTCTCATCTAGTCATTCTATTCAAATAATAATCACTTTTATATTACAGTAAACAATATATCATCATGTCATCGTATAAACTAACATACTTCAACGTAACTGGATTGGGCGAACCTATTAGATTCTTGCTGTCCTACTTGAACATTGATTTCGAAGATGTTCGTTTTGAACTTGAACAATGGCCATCGATCAAACGTAGTAAGTAACCATAAATACCAATTTGTAATGCTATTTTCATTATACTATTATGTATTCAAGATATAAATAACGCTTATTTTTCTACTGTCTTGAAATATGTATTATTACCCTGGAATAAAGAACCATAGATACCTTACTATGAATATTTGTAATTAGGGCTCGTAAGTTGTTGCATTTGCATTTTTTTTTTTTTTTTTGGACTATTAGATTTATTACTAGGTAAGCTAGAAATTCATTCCATGACACTACGAAAAAATATCAAATATTAATAGTGCTTATTTTGGTATATTCAGCGGTTTTTAGATCTTAGAGCATATTTTTTAATTTCACAATTTTTTAGAGTATATTTTTAATTTATGATGATTAATTTTGGAAATTCATAAATTAAAAAATAAATACATTCATAATGAGATTTCTTACTAAGTACTCTTGTATTACATTTTATTTGACATTTAAAACTATAATATGAATGGTAGGTAATTTAGCATACATTCATTCAAATTTTGAGTTTATACCGGAGTATATTATGAAATTTGAAATAAAAAAAATGTAATTATCTGAAGTTTTTGTTAGGCAAGGGCGTCAATTGGCCATTTTATTTTTAATCTCTTTGATGGGTTGCTGGGAATGGTTATAGACTCTATAATATAGATGACACAAGGGAAATAAGAGGGTTTTGGTTTGAATGGAATTTTGAGTGGATATTTTTGTAATGTCGGATTGCTATTTCATTGATTGTTGGGATTTGTAGATTCTTATGTAGTGCGTCGTTAGTCATATACCATGGAACTCTAGTTATTTGTCTAAGACATATATACTGGAAATCTTGTATGGGTCTTAGATGGTTTAGCTTGAGCCCAGATTTGAATACCATGTTACGCCTTAATCCCAATTCTACGGAATGAGCGCCCGGTGACAAACACCTTAGAATAACGAGGGTCTCCAACCAGGTACCCAGACCTTGTTAGGGGCCGGAGTACCTAGATTTTTATAATTTATTAATATTAATTTTTGTGGTTTGAAAGGAAAAAAACTAAAAAAAATAAAATACCGATTATGAGAAAAAAAATGTATTTTAAGCATTTTTTTTAATTTCGATGCAGAGAAAGCTCGGTGTCGCGTAAAACTGT